ATTAAATACTTGGAGCAACTGGGCATGGCGACAGATGCCAGAAATCCTACCACGCAGAGGCTGAGATAGTAGGATCACAACTTCAAGTCCACACTTGGCAACATAACAAAACCCTCTGAAAATTAAAATAAGAAAGGGCTAGGGATATAAGGGTGAAGACCCAAGGTTCAATCTCTAGTACCATCCAAAAAAAAAAAAAAAAACCTGGAATCCAACAGGTTCACTAGAACATTCTAGTGATTTGTTTTGGCTTATATAGACCAAAAGAAGCCAATTGACCAACCTGGCCCTATCAGTTCATTGTACTAAGGACAAAGTCTACCCATGCATTCCTGTAGCAACTTAAAAGACAAAAGAATGAAAGGAGGGATGTTCACCAAGAAAAAGCAGTCATCTACATAATTTCTAGAAAATACCAAGCCAACAATAGATATTAAGACCTTCAAATCTGTTTTCTCAATGATTCTTAGAAATATTTTAAATGGAAGTTCCTATAAGAACAATGTAAGAAAAAAATTGTTTAAAGTCAAAATTATGATTACTGAACTAAAAATAATAAAGCTTCAATATGCTAAAAACTGAATTAGTAAATTCATGGTGGGGAATGACAAAAGGATGACAACTGTGAAGAAAAAGGCACGAGACATGGAAAATATTTATTGTTCTACTATGTTCTATGATAGCAGGTTCCAGAAGTAACTAGCTAGCTGCTCAGCATACCCATTTCCTCTTCCTCCTGGACACATGGCTTGACGGTATTTCCAAGCCTCCTTTGCAGTGCCAATGTAATGTTGGCAGAAGTGATATTTGTCCCTTATGAGCTTGGTTCAGAAAAAAACTCATGACTTGTTCACCTTCTTTTTCTTCTGCTGCACCAATGGAAGGTATAGGCTGACCAGTACAAGTGAGAAGAGTCTTGATCCGTGGATCATCCCTTGGAGAAAAGCTACCCCACCGGAAATACTCATTTTGGCCTTTATATAAGCAAAAAATAAAGCTTTTATTATAAGACTTTGGAATTTATTACACTAGGCAGCATTGTTTAACAAATTCAGAAACTAGTGTTAGAAGTATGGTGCTACCATAACAATAATAACAACTAAAACTAAAACAAATATTGTTAGTTTGGTAGTCAGGCAAAGAGTAGCAAAGATACATATTTAACAAGCTAAAAGGCCGGAGAATGCTACAATACAGGGAGAAAAAACTAGACCCTGTAGTAAATGAAAAGGCATACTAAATGCCTACTGGACCTGTAGCATGTAGACTATGAGTGAACAAAGAGTCAAAGTTACATGTACATTAGCATCTACTATCTGCTTTTAGCAAAGTATTACATAAACGAGATGAGCTCAAAAAAGAATTTTCAGACTGAAATTATAGGGAATGGAAATCTAGAAACTTTAGGCTCAGAGGGATAAAAAGCTAAATACATATAGAGCCCAAACGGTAAGAAAAAAGAATAAAGAGTTGAACAATAAATTCCCAAGAAAACTTGTAGCAGAACAATATGATTCAATCTTGAAGTGGAGATTAAATTCCAATATGGATGTCTCACTGATTATTAAATACAGCCTCAAAGTAAACCTCTAAAAAGCATCAGTCAAGGGCTACGCTCTCCTACCTTTACTACTTCCCAAAACAGGGCAGGAAAAAATTCCATAACCTTTCTTGAAACTTCTTTTAGGAAAGAACATTGGGTATAATGTACACACAGGACCCACTAGAAAGTAACAGATTGCAACTAGCATGGGAGAACTATGCCAAAAAAACACAAATCTGGACTAAATAAACTTGCAACTGTTCAGAGCCTTAAAATAAACCTGAGACCCCTAAACTTCCAGGAGCAGAAAACAGTCAGTGAAAGATATAAATAGATGTAGAAGTAAATGTAAATGCAGATATATCTATACATATAGTCATAAATTCAGAGAAAAATGAGTCTTCAAACAAATGTCTATTGCCCAACATCCTCTTCAGAAGTGTACTAGATAAAAATAAGGAAAAAATAATGTTACCTAGAAGCCTAGGAAAACAATGGACATAGGAGTTCTTTCCACAACCAAAGACTAAGCAAAGTTTCCCTATTATTGAGGCTCAGAGACGTCCCAATGCTCCCCAAGAAGACTGAATGATTGCTGTGGAGTAGAGAATACTATTTGTCTCCTATTCTTTCCTTTTCTAAATGATAATTATTCCATCCTACCTTCCTTACCCTGTATTGGTGTAAGTGCACATAACTAATAATTTTAGCTATGTGGTTATCAGCCCATGAAGAGCCACATCTGAATCTGATAGACAAAGCTGAGAATCCTGGAGACACCAGACTTTTAGATGGAGGTACTGACTAGATGAGCCACTGGGCTGTCTCTCTTAGGGAAGGAGTGGCTGTAGTCTATGCATAGGAAAACACCAAATAAATAGTTAATGACCAGAGGGTGCCAGAGACCAGCTATTAGTCACTAAATTTGTGTCATCCTCATTTTAAGGACAGAGTAGGATTACGTATCCCAGCCTTCCTTTTAGATGGGTATGGCCATGTAACGGAGTTTTGACGAATGGAATGTGGACAGAAGGAAGAATACTTTGCATCCATGCTGTCCCTTAAAAAATTTCCATGTACAATACTCATTGATCTTTCCCCTTCTGCTACAATCTTCAAATCCATACTAAAGATAGCATTTTTTTTTTTTTGGTACCTGGGATTGAACTCAGGTCCTTGCGCTTGCGAGGCAGGCAGCAGAACCACTGAGCTAAATCCCCGGCCCATACTAAAGATAGCAGAGACACTCAATGTAGAGACTCTCTAAATCACCATCGTGAGTTAAGAAAAAATTCACAAATGAGAAATGCCATTTGGGGCTTTACATAAGTGAGAAACTGCTTCCTCGCCCTCTTCTCTAATATCCATGAATTCAAACAAGTATTTATTAAACTTCTACTAGATACAAAGTACATAGTAATTTCTCTCTCATATCATCCTTACTTTCTAGGTACTACAGAAAATTTTAAAATATGTAAGATATTCTTATTCAAGGATTTTTCATATATATATGCATAAGATAATACACGCAATAAGTACAATTCTTGAGATGAAAAATTTTATAGGAGGAATGAAGACTTAGCACATTAAAATTCCTGAATTCACTTAATATTTCTTTACCATTTCTTTATATTACAAAAGTAAAGCAAACAGCTAATAATTTCACAGACTGAGTACCATAGGAGACAAATTAATTTCAACCTGACCTGAATTCTACTATATAATCTGACCTTTGCAAGTTGAACTTGACCAAGTCTCCTCCCTTCCAGGGGCAGTCATTTCTTCAGATAATTAAGGAATGAGACCAGCTAACCTCATATTAAATGAGGTAATAACATTCTTTTTGTTGTTGTGGGGTTTTTTGTTTTATTTTGTTTTGTTTTTTTGAGACAAGGTCTCACTATGTAGTTCAGGCTGGCCTAGAACTCACTATGTAGCCCTGGCTGACCTCAAACTTGAGACAATCCTCCTGCCTCAGCCTCCCTAGGGCTGGGATTACAGGCATGTGCCACCACACCCAGCAGAAGTAATAACATTCTTTTGTTTTGTTTTGTTGGGGTTTTTTTTCCAGAACTGGGGATCCAACTCAGGACCTTGCACTTGCCAGGTAGGCGCAGCGCCACTGAGCTACATCCTCAGCCCAGGTAATAACATTCTTTTTGTTTGGTTTTGGTTTTTTTTTTTTTTGGTGCTGGGGATCGAACTCTGGTCCCTACGCTTGCGAGGCAGGTGTCGGAACCACTGAGCTAAATCCCTGGCCCAGTAATAACACTCTTAATGAATTCCTCTTTCATCAAAAAAGAAGTAAAATAAAGTTTCAGGCAAAAGCCAACATAACAACCCTAAAAAGGTAGCATCCACAGATATTTTGTACTAGGCTTTCTTATTTTAAAAATTTATAAAAACTTAGTCAAATATAGTAAAGACTTGTCTTACTTGATACCCTTATCTCTATACCCAACAATGTAAAGGTATATTTTCAATGATTAATTTTGTTTCAGTCCCACTATAAAAAAAATGACATGGTTATATCTACCAGATTTTTCATTATAATAGTTTTTAACTTTGTACTTTTTAAAATACAGCAAAATTTAAAGAAGAGGGGTGTGGAATACCTGCATTTTCTTGGAAAAAGGTTAACTGGCAAACCTCTTTTACAGAATCAAAGAGACATCCAAACTAAGATTACCAAAGCTAGCTGAGACCTAAAATATGGTTCTAAATAAAATCTCTTCCCTCATTCTCCACAGACTGTAAGAATTCCAAATAATCTACTCAAGAACATTGGTGTTTGTGAAACCAAAAAACACTTTCCATAAACAACTAAGTGTTTTACTTATTGTTGTAAGCTACATCATCAGGTATACTGAGAGGTTTAATAAAATCAAGGTGACTTAAATTTCAAATGAGCAAGAACTACTGAAAATAATTACTGTACTTTTATTCATAATGACAAAAAAACCTTTCTGTGATTATAATTCACAGCATTTCTCAATGAGATTTTTTTCTCATTGATTTCTGTTAATATCAGAAAAGTTCATATATAACATATGCCTTGCTTACATAGCAAATAATTAACCAAAGGTACATAAGTTGGGTCATTAACTAGAAGAACTTTAAAGTCCTTTGGACTTCAAATAATATCCAAAGTGAAAGGAAGTATTTAGTTAAGAAAAAAAAGCAACAAAGTTAAATTCTTTCAAATCCTCAATATAAACCATCATAACTGATTAGTTTCTTGGACATCCAATTTAATGGACATCCACAGAGCAAACCAATATACTAGTCAATAGGTCACTGCTCTGTTAAGATAATAAAAAACATTTTTAATTATGTTTCCACAAAGATAAAGGGCTTTTTTAAAATGATAAACAATCAAGACACTTGGCAAAAGAAGTCCATGTTCAAATGAATATATGAAAAACCACTGTCCAACCTATATAAACCCAAGACTTACTTGCTTCATGGCAGTTTCTCCAATTTTGTCTGAATGTTTGCGGATGCTCTCCAGAAAATCTTTGAGATCAGACATAGAAACATCCTTTATTTCTTCTCGAAGCTTGGGGATGTTGTCCACCATCACCTTGCAGAATCGATAGTGGCTTACTTGAGGCAGATAGGTATGTTCTAGATGTTCCAGAGTTTTCAGTGCAGGATAATGCCTACAAAAGGAATTGATTACCTTTAGCTGACTTGAGTCTTCCTTAGGGTCACAGATATACTCCTCAGGAAAAACTTCTAGCCTGAATTAGTTTTCACTGTGCATTAAGATAAATCCAGTATTAAATTTTAAAGATATCATCAATAAGCTAAATCTCAAAATATTTTTTAGTTTTTATTAGTGTATGTTTGCATTGCATAATGATTACATTACTTTTGAGGAGTTGATACATGAAACATAACACATCTCATTCTTTTTTCATTCCCTTTTCCTCCTCTCCCTCCCCACTCCTTCCATCTCTTCCCTTTCCCATTTGAAAAGGATCAAATTATTACAAATTAATATATGCTTTAAAATACTAGTAAATTATAATCAAAAAATATTTTATCTAAAGAATGTATTAAACTTAAAATAGATACCAGCTAAGGAATAAAGGAACTTTTAAAAAGGTCATCTCAATGCCAAAAATATTCAACCTATAAAATGAAGTACCCTGGTACAGACTTTCAGCTAAAGCAGAAGGAAGCACCTGTCAAATCTTCTACCCAGTATTTCATTCAAATTCATGACAAAACTATCTAAGATGCCCATTTCAGGGCTCTAGAAATTGACCAAAGAAGAACAACAAATCAAGAAATGTTTATTCATGAAAATTGCTCATGGTGGGGCTCTACAATATTCTTTTTTTTTTCACATCAGATTGATGTTTATTAGGGGGGAGGAGGGGAGGAAAAGGGGGATCCCCTTGCACAAGCTGTCTTTAACACAGCACAAAATCCTCAAGTCTCCACTCTTCAGGTAAAGGTGGACAGCTGTAAGGCCCTGGTTCCAGTAGCAAGCCAAACAAAAGCTGGGGAGGAGGCACATGTATGCCTCCTCATCACAGAGACCCAGAGACCCAGGCCACTTCTCCAACCCTGGTCCTCTGGCAGGCTCACACATCAATGGGTTCCCGGCCTCAGTTCTGCCTCTTCACCACAAACACCCTCTGTCTTGTCACAGTCATCAGCAGCGTGTGTTCTCCAAAGACCACAGATAGGCGCTTGAAGGGGACATTCATGCTGTGGTGCAGCCGGAAGCCACAAGCTGTACTGACCAGCTCAGAGATGGCACTGGCTGCCTGCTCATCATTCTTGAGATCCCCAGACGATGCCAACACTGAACCTTCACTAAGCACCAGGTAGCCCAGCTGGTCTGGGATTCACTCCAAGCTCTGGGTCAGTGCAGAAGTCATTGCGGCCTTAGAATCCAGTGGAGCTCTGCACCAAATAGTACAATATTCTTTCCTGGGCCTACTTCCAGTAACACACACACACACACACACACACACACACACACACCCCAAATCCCTTGCCTCTGGTCACTGTTCATGGCTAGTCATGAAAACCAACAACTTCACTGACATTAGGGAAAAACATAATTTGGAGCAGAGGGTGATCATTACTAAAACTGATAAACACAATAACAACAAAAAAATAAAAATAAAAATGTGAATAGGAAAAGCCTTCAGCTCTACTGGCCTAAAGTTGTAGCTGGACTGTGACAAATGGCAGACTGGAGGACTAACCAGAAATTTAATAGGAAGGTCACAGAATTAAAGATCTATGAAGAATTTGATGTGCTTTCTGCCTGTGCCTAACTGACTGAGAAAATTTCATACAATCAGGGGACACTTAGAAGGACCTTAGCACTCCACTCAGCCCTGGCTGACCAGAAGGCTACAGAAACACACAGGAGACTAAGAAGGCCTGGCAGAAGGTAAAACTTCAGGCAGACTTGGAAACTGCCTAAATTTTTAATGTACTCCCTAATCCACATACAAATCAACTGGCAAAGAGTAGAAACTTTACTGGCTCAAGTTTCATTAGTTGATGAGTATCCTTCAAAAAATGAAAATGAACTTCCAAGCATAGTGGTGTACACTTGTAATCCTAGTACTTGGGAGGCTGAGTCAGGAGAATCACAAGTTCTAAGCCCAGCCTGGACTACACAGCAAGTTCAAGGCCAGCCTCCTGGATTTCTTAAGACCCTATGAAGAAAGAAAAGAAGGAAGAAAGGAGGAAAGAAATGACATAATTTCTTGCCAGTCAACCTATCTTACAAGAAACTCTAGAGGAAGCCTGAAAGAAATGACAGCAGATGGTGATCTGAATTCACACACATACACACACACACACACACACACACACACATGCACACACTGAAAAGCATAGGATATAATAAATATATCCTAAATATGAAAGAGTAAATAAACACTTTTCTCTTTTCTTAATTTCTTTAAAGAATAATATTTTTTAAAGCAACAATTCTAATACTGTAATTTGGATTTATAAAATACATGGATGCATCAAGAAATTAAATAATAACTAATGCTGGCGAGGCTGTGGGGAAAAAGGAAACCTTCTACATTGTTGGTGGGAATGTAAACCAGTTACAAACACTATGGAAATCAGTATGGAAATTTCTCAAAAAAACTACAATTAAAAATTCCATTTGGCCCAGATATTTCCCTTCTCAGTATCTTCCAGAAAGAGTTAAAGATATCACCTTACAGTGATAAATTCACACCAATGTTTACAGCAGCACAACTCATAATAGGTAAATCTTGGAAGCAGCTTATATGTCCATTAACAGAAGAATCAGTAAAGAAAATGTGGTACTAATACACAATGGAGTACTACTCTGCCATAAAGAAAAATAAACTGGAGTCATGTATGGGAAAATGGATGCAACTTGAGACCATAATATGTTATGTGAAATATATCAGACACACAAGTTTAAATATCACATAACTTCTCTTACATGAAAAACCTTAAGTATAAGTAATTTAAAAAGCAAAACAAAAGATAATAGGAAACAGGGAGACAGATCTTTTGCACATGGGAAGGGAATCTAGAAATGGAGGGAGGAATCAGGAGGGAAAAGAAAAGGAAACAAGATAAATTAAGACATGTTATATACATGTACTAACTCCTTCACAATGAATGTAATCATCATGGACTATAAACATATACTAATTTTTCTTAAAAAGTGATGTCTACACTTGCTAAATGTCTTTTTTAAAAAAGAAAATATATTTTTAAGAAACTCATTCAGCTCAGTGGTATTTGCAATTTTCAAGATACAAAAGGTAGACAGAAAAGGAAAAGGAGGAGAAGTAGAAACAAAGAAAACCCACAGAAAAACAAAATAGGACCAGTATGTAGAGGGTATGCAAAAAAAAAAAAAAAATTATCACTCTACTGCCAAAGATTTCTTAAAATATGTGTATTATTGTCAGTATTTTCAATAAATGGGAATTCACAGCCTGCTGGTAAACAAATTTTCAATAAAAAATGTTAGTGAAAACCACTACCCTAAACATGATATATCCACGTATAAAAATAACAATGAAATAGCAAAATATTTGCAATATCACTGAATGAAAATTACTTCAAAAAACACTTATTGCTTCTCAGCCTCTCAGCTAAGATAAGAGTACAGTATTTGTTCTTATTAGTTTCATGTCTGATACATCCTCTATCTAAGAACAATATATCAAATGGATTTTGGGAGCAGGGAGACAAAATGGGAGCTTGCCCCATCCATTCCATGCATCAACCTGGTACTCTAGTATCTCCAGGGATGGCACAACAATTAAAAAAAAAATACATCTTTCAAGTATAATCGTAACATTTCTAAAATTATAAATATACATGCATAAATTATAAATATATGATCACTGAGTACACATAAGTACATAGAAATGACTATAAAACATATGCAAAAGTGTTGGCCGTGACTTTTTTCTCTAAATGACAATAATATAAGTGATGACTTTCTTTGTGTTTTAATGCCCTAATTTCCACATTTCCCATGAAATATTTAGTACAAGAAAGCCCTATTTCCATCTCTATAAATAAAAACGACTTATAGCTCTAGTTTGGACTTAAGGGAATGATTTTCACAGCAGATACTTCAGCTCATTTTGCTCCAATGCACTTAGTATCACAAACACAAAGTCTAAAGACTGGTTTGTTTTATTTCTTTTTATGACTTCTCTCATGTGTTCCAAGAATCAAAATCTTAGTCCAAATAAATGAAGAGAAGAAAGGTTTAGTCCTTCTAAACTTAGAAATAAAAGTACAAATACAGTTAAATCTGAAAGTTTTTATTAAAATTTTACAGACTCAAAAACAGTACAATTCACATGGTTAAGTGTAAACAGAATGGTGTTTATACTACAATTAGGTATGAAGAGTTATGTGTAATAAAATGCAATTCCTCTAGAGAGAAACTTTAGAATGGACAGAAAGCCAGAAATTAAGCCAAAAAGATAAACATACTTTGGGGTTCAGTTATATTTTGGAACATTGTTTATAGAATGAGAAAAATCTAACAATGTTGCCTGCAGACACAGGCACACTCACTGATGAGACACATGGCTCGTGCTGAAAACATCTGGTCTGTCAAATAGCTCCACATTTTTCAAAGCTAATTAGTACAAAACTCAGTGATTCCTGGCAACAAAGAATGTTACCTTCTTTTCCCCATTATCCCTTTCCTAGCATATTCAAGTTCCAACCATAGTAAATCAATAAGATTATTCAAATATATAGTTTTTCCATATCAATGACAGATAAATAATGATACCAAATTGAACACCTATATAACAGGTACCAAAAAAAAATCTATTTCTAGTGGCCACGGAATTCCCAACAAGATTTTGACATTACTTTTGAAAACTTCCAAACCTTATTATAACTGAATCAAAAGCCAAATTCCTAAGTTTCATTTGCATGTGTGTTCACTCTCTCCACTTCCCTCTTGCAGGACCCCTAAAAAGAGGCAGAAGCAGAAATACAATAAAGGATATATAAAGCAGGGAATAAAAAGGAAGAAGGCAGAAGAAGAGCTGAATAATACCCAAATGGTATAACTAAGGTCCAAATAACTGAGACACTGTTGAATACTATCATAAGACGAGGAATGCTGATTCCAAGCAAATAAAATTTCAGTACT